CCCCAAAACCCCAAAACCCCAAAACCCCAAAACCCCAAAATTTAAGTCGAATTATTATTTCATCAAGCGATTTGAAGCATCATTCATGGCTATTTTAGGTGTAGTCAAAGAGATCTCAATCTTAATATCCTCTCCAAGATCTGGCTGGTCGATCTTACCCTCAACAGCTGACTTTTCTCTCTTTTTAGGCTTCTTTGATGGCTTTCTTTGTGTCTTCTTTGCTCGGGGCTTCCTCTTTTTCTTAGGTGCATTTGAGAACAGCATTTCCTTCACGTTTAGCTGTTCAACAGGCAATTTGTCGAGCTGTCTGACTTCTTTAGCCTCTTTACGCTTAGATTTGGCTATCTCTTTTTCTTCTCTCTTTTTCTCAGTAATGAACAACAGCTTATGTACAAAGAAGACAGTCCTTGAATCTGATGTAGAAAGAGTGAGCTCGGAAAATCTGGGAATCTGCGCAGCACATTTCAAGTCAAATATTCCATTATCTTTACCTGCCTTATCTTGGAAGTATATCAATTCAGTATTTGAGCTATCAAGAAGGAAAAGAGACCTCCAAACTTTCAAGGGCGGTTTGATCAACATCTTCGTTCCTTTTCAGACGTCAATAGTCAAGGAGTCTAACTTAGCAATCTCAGTTGCAGTAATCTTAGAGTTTCCATCAAAGAGTAGGAACTTCAACATTCTATTAGTCTCAGCTTGCTTCTTATGAATCTTACCAGAGTCTGTATATTCTATAGCGCTAGAGTCCAGGTATCTGCTTTCCCATTTTTCATCATCTGAGTCATCAGATAGGCATGCATCTTCCTCGATTTGGGCTCTAGTAGGGATTCCTACATTTACGACTGACTCGATTTGGACAACTCTTGGGCTCTCAAGCTGCTCCTCTATATCAGTGGTTTTGAATTCTCTGAACCCTTCTTCTCTTTTTTGCCAGTAATCCTTCATATCTTGGACACAAAATTGTTGAAATACAGCATATATGTCCTGATCCTCGGTCTGGTTCTGAGGAAACTGCTCTAAGCAGTCTCCAACCCAGCTCGGTTTGAAGTGGATATAGAGTTTTCTGAAATACTCTAAGACTAAGTCGATTCTGTCAGCTTGAAGTTCAGCGTCAATCATCACTGAGTTTTCAATTTCTTCCATTTTGGTGGGGTTTTGGGGTTTTGGGGTTTTGGGG